AGGGTACACTTTTAGCTTTTAGAAACATTATTAAATATTACAAACTAATAATTACGGATGTCATAATATTTTGTAAATTTTTTAATTTGAATTTGTTGCGCATTTTCAAGATTTGGTATTATTATTGATTTCAATTTATCAAAAAATATGTTCAGCTTGTTAATGAAAAATTTATTTTTTTTAATTCAAATTTGTAACTGAGCATGTTAATTTTTTGTTTGAGAAATTAAAAGCTGATATTTATGAATGAAACTTTTGCTTGCTTATTAATGGTTGACTTCACGAGAATAATAAATCCGTAATCCTATACTTGATGAATTTGAAAGATAATTGTTTAGAACCTGGTGCTTAATATAGTAAAAATAAAAATGGTAAGCAAGAATTCATAGAAATATTATTTTACGGCAGAGCATGTAATACGCTTGTGGCTCATGAATCATTCATAAAATTCAAGTTCTTAGGCTAAAGATTATTAATTTCAAAAACTTTATTGCATCAAGTGCGCTGAAATTTTGAATAGTCTGTGTATTTTTCACCAAGTGGATTATTAACTACTTAGCTGAAAAATTTCAAATTCCTGGGTCTTCTAGCCTTTGAGATATTTTTAACAGAATATCTGGTATCAGAACTGATAGTTAAATGTATAGCTTTTCAGTTTAATAGTTTCAAAAGTGTATTTTTGGATTTTTGATCAGCATATTGAATAAGTGTGTAAAACAGAGGTACAATGCATCATTATTACCTCATTCTATTTCATCACTTAAATGTGTCTAAAACTGATAAATTGTGCTGATCATATGTATATCTGGATTATTACAGCAAAAAATACGCTTTTTATTTTGCTTTCATCTTATTATGTATGTAAAAATATAGTATTATTTTGCTTTCTGATCCATTTTACAATAAAATTAACTTTTTTCAGTAATTATTGGGCATTTATTCTTTATGTGCAAGGAATGTTTAGTCATTATGAATTAAATGTTTTTGATTAGAATTTGGGAAGATGATTCTGGTGAACTTCAGATGGAACTAGTAGCAGAAAAACCTCTGAAACAAGAATACCTGAAATCTGGTGTAAGTAGTTGCTGTTATGTAATGGAAATATAGAATCTATATAATTTTTATCAAGCTGTTACTAAAATAATTAAGAGTTTTGTTAGAGGTACAAAATTATGTATTATGTATGTAAGCTTTGGATTGATTATGTATGTAAGCTTTGCATTGAAAGAAGTTCTTAATAACTTCTTTCAATGCAGATATCCATCTTTATGGAGCTTCTAGCGTACATTGTCCAACAAACTTTTAACTGAGACACAATAACACGCCGAACAAATACTAATTCAGAAGTCAAACCACAAAAATCAGCGTTATATTTTCAAATTTTCACAGGACTAGTTCCGATGGTTTTACCGAACCACCATCCTCAGCTGCACCGAACCACCATCCTCAGCTGCAGAAAAGCAAAATTTTGCGATTTTGCGTTTCTGCAGCTGAGGATGGTGGTTCTGTAATAACATAGAAACTAGTCCTGTGAAAATTTGAAAATATAACGCTGATTTTTATTGTTTGACACCTGAAACTTTTAACTGACTGACAAAAGTTTCCAGAATTTAGTATCTATTAAGCACAATGTAATCTATTTTACTATTGAGTTTGATAGAATTATATTTGCCTTTTAATCAAAAAAAATATTTATCAGAGAAACAAATATGAATATAAAATTTTTAATGAGAACATTATATCTGCTTACTTAATAACACTGCATCTCTGTCTACTTTAAGACATATTAGTGATTATGAAGAATATATTAAAACCACTGATATGAAATATTTGTTTTTATTTTACTGTTTGTATGCTTTATGTGGGGTGAGCAATAACTCATGAATATAAATGCTTTTAAAAAGAGGTGTCATGAACCGGTCGCGGACACTTAGCCGACGGGACACTTAACTGACACCAGTTAGCCGACAAGGACACTTAGCCGACAAGGACACTTAGCCGACATGGACACTTAACCGACATGGACATTTAGCCGACAGGACATTTGGCCGACACGGACAGTTAGCCGACAGGACATTAAGCCCACAATGAGTCTGGCTCTTCTACTGCTTCCAGATTTCTAATACTTTCACATTTCATTACTACTTTACTCAACACATCACACTACATTGATTCCCGTATAAAGTCGTTCCGCTTCTCCCACTAATGAAATTTCCTTTGCCTGTCGGAAAGTAGAGAGATTCGCCCTACTCCTCGCCTCACTAGAACTACTTTTTTTTTTTTTTTTTTCCTGAAATGCTATTTACACCTTCAGAATGCAATTACACGTTTAGGCATCGCATATTTATTAATCTGGGATAAGTCTCTGGCGCAGGAATTCGTACCTCGCGGCCTGTGGCCACGTAACAGAAGTAGGTTTGGTTTATGAATTACAGCAAAGCTAGAGGGCTATCTGCCTAAAGGGAGGGATACCTTCGTAGAGGACTTTTTAAGGAAAACTGGCTTGTATATATGTTACACATGGGGAAAACGACAGAAACACACATGCAGCCTGCCCGTTCGCGGGATTCGAAATTCGGACCGAACTGCCAGTGTTCAGTGACTTTACCGCTCGGCCGCTGCTGAGCATAACAGAAATAGAGTGACCGTTTTACTTAATATATCACCAGTCTCTTCCAATGAAAATGGCCTTTTTAGGCTAGAACTTTATAAATGCATTCAGGAAAATGGTAATGGTAATGAGAATGGGAAAATGGTAATGGTACATGGTAATGGGAAAAATTCACCAAAATTTTTCACATTACCATGTAGCTAAACCAAAAACGAGAAAAAGAAGGAATGAAAGGAGGAAAAAAATAATAAAATTAATGAAAAGTGAAATGAAAATTTGTACATTTTTAACAGCTATTTAGAAAAGTTACATTTTATGAGAAAAACATTAATATAACATATTATATTCAAAATTAGACATCGCGACTTTCAAAAGAGGGTATGTAATATTATGTAGTTACATGACAAAGGCCAACTCATACTATAAGTTGGCTTGACATGACTGACCCAGTTAAACCAGACATGACTGACCCATGACTGACCGATAGAGCCAGACTCATTGTGGGTTTAATGTCCTGTCGGCTGAATGTCCATGTCGGTTAAGTGTCCATGTCGGCTAAGTGTCCTTGTCGTCTAAATGTCTTGTCGGCTAACTGGTGTCAGTTAAGTGTCCCGTCGGTTAAGTGTCCGCGACCGGTTTATGACACCTCTTTTTAAAAGCATTTATATTCATGAGTATTGCTCACCCCATCTATCGGTGATAGATTTAATTGGATCAGTCAGTGACTTTTCAGGTTGTCTCACTTTGCTCCACCCTGCTTGGTTTGTGGCCCCATCTGCAGCTTCATCCGATTTCTCTATGATAAACTCTCTCTTTGGATTGAATAAAACAAAACCTTAAAAACTTTTATTTTACTTCTTTTTATTTACTTACGTAAAACCTTTTATTTTACTTCTAAATTAAACATTATGTACCAGTTTAGTGCTATAAACATTGACCTAAGTATTTTAAGAGAGAGGCGTGGTCAATGCTTAAATGCTAATCGCTTATGCATTATATGCCCAGTTGGGCTTTAATAAGCTATGTTGATCTAATCCCCTAAGGACAATCAGAGTGGCAACCATCAGCTTGTTCCCAGCCGGGAAATCGGAGCAGATACATGTGGTCAATAAAATTTTACAGAATTTTTATCTCAAGAATGGTGATGTGAACAGCTCATTATAGAGGTCACAAATAATTCATACCTTTGTTGTCTCAAAAATTCACTTTTTAAATTCTTTTTAATAACAAAATAAAATATTTTTGCTAAACTAACCCTTCACCACCATATGTTTCTATAAAAACGTATAATGGCATTGCGTACTCCCTTGACTTTATCCATATACATGTCGACCTATTTTCACTTAAAAAAAATCCAAGAATTGCACAAAACTTGCATTGCGCACTCCTTTCACTTTGCCCATGTACACATCGATATATTTTCACTTAAAAAGTCAAAGGAGCACCCAATTAATTCTACAATATAGGCAAACAAAAAAATACATAATCTCAATAAACTACATTTTAAACCAAACAATAAAATAACATAAAAAAGGAAAAACATGTTATACATTTAAGCACTACAAAAAGCAAATATCCACTTACCATATTTAGAAGTTCCTTCGTCTTTAATCTGTGGCACACAAAATTCCTTAAGAGCATCCCAAAACTTCCTAAAATTATTTGAACTCGAATCCGTATATCGGTGTAGCCACATCTGAACCTTTCTTCCTGCAAACCCATTCAAATGGTTTTTACTTTCGACTAGACGCATATCCTTCGTACATACAGGGCACATATAATGGCTACTAAGTAAATCTTCATTTACACACCAGTCAATTAACGCTCTTTTTCCCTTTTGTTCCAAATCTTACAGAAACTTCAAATTAATCTTACTACATTCAGCCATTCTACGGTCTAAACAATGAAACCAACACACCACAAAAGCGCTTACAAAAACATCCGATGATAAAAAATTTCCCAGAATCATGCACCCGATTACGTCACAATAGGGTTTCCATAATATTCAACTACTCAGGCTACCATAAATGAAGCAACTTGGCGATAAATGAAACAACAATTTCGCCATAATACAAGGGATACCTTAAAGTCTACTCTAACCCCTTATTTTAATAATTAAGTTAGCTAAAAAAATTCCTTTTTCCTTTCGAAATTTAATTCATATTCCCTGACGAGAAATTTCAGCGCTTTTTCAGTTTGGCCAATATACACCAAACAGCACGATACATATATCAAACAGTGCTATATTAACAGAATTAACTGAAAGCGTATATGAGATCTTTAAGAATCGAAACATGAATATAATAAGTGATTATATTCACTATGTGATTATATTCAATATGATAAGTGAAAAAAATAACTTAAATATTGAACTTATGGAGAAGTCGAGAAATTTTGTAATTGATAGTAAGTTTAAATAATTGTTAGGTACGTGTCAGTTAAACATCACTGTAGGTTAGTATCCTGTTGACTAAATTTCTCGACAGAGTAGTGACCCTTAGCTAAATGTCCTGACGGCTAACTGTCCGTGTCGGCTAAATGTTCTGTCGGTTAACTGTCCATGTCGGCTAAATGTCCTGTTGGCTAACTGTCGTGTCTGCTAAATGCCCTGTCGGCTAAGTGTCCTTTTCAGCTAAATGTCTGTGTCGGCTAAATGACCTGTTGGCTAAGTGTCCGTGTCGGCTAAATGTCCTGTTGGCTAACTGGTGACGGTTAAGTGTCCCGTCGGCTAAGTGTCACGGACCCGTCATAAACAGGATATGTTTCTGATGACCTGGGGACAAGTAAATTTCAGACAAATAAATTTATAAAATTCCATTTAAATGAACTTCTTTACACTGCATATAAAATTGCAACTCTTTACATTCCATTTCAAGCAAGTCAGTAATGGAGTAACTTCTCTGAGTAGTAGTGCTATCTGGATGTTTTCAAATGTTCTTCAGAATTGCTTCCAACAGTAACAATGTCGTCGAGATACACAAGGCATACTTCGTATGAGATTCTTTTCAAAACTGTTCCCACTAGGTGTTCAAATGTCACTGAAGCGTTTGCATAATCCAAAAGACGTTACTTTAACTTCCAATTCCTTGACCGGTAGTTAAATGCACTCTTCTCCCAATCTTGAGAGAGTACTTCCACTTGCCGGTAGCTACTTTTCAAATCCAATGTGGGAAATCATTTGTTTCCTGCCATCATATCTAAGGTGTTGTTAATTCGAGGCAAAGGATAACTGTCTTCTTTCAGAATGTCATTTAGATGTCTGAACATAGTAAAAAAAATTCTCAAGGCTGATTAGAAACAAAATTGTCTATATTGCACCTTCTAACTGAGCTACCGTTTCACTCAAAATTAAAAGATCTGCAATTCTATATAATAAATAAACAACTAAATACAAGACATGAGTCGCCCAACCGTATAATGGTTAGCGTCGCTGGCCCCCCAAAAAGACCTAGATGAAAATTTTAAATTCAGCATTTTGTTTCATTTCATGTTAAAAAAAATTTATTAACTTTTCATCGGACTTGTGCATTCAACCTCTTACTAACCTGTACGCACGCAACACTTTTGGTGGCAGCGGTGGGATTTGAATGCCAGTAACAAGAGCGATGGAAAAACAATAAAACGATTACTGGCAACCTTTGCTGCGTTCAAAGGAGAGATGAAAGCTAACCAAGAATCAGTTAAAGTAGAGATGAAAGCTCGGCAAGTAAATTTTAAAGAGGAGATGAATGTTTTTCAGGAATGTGTTAAAGAAGAGATGAAAGCCGTTCAAGCAGGTCAAGAAGCAATGAAAAAGGAAATTACTTGCATAATAAAAAAAAGAACAAATTTGAGGCTTTGGAAGGTCGAATAGTCGCTATGAAAATAAAGTTGGACAAATTGAAGAAAGAGTTTATTCTGTAAAAGAAAAATAGAAGAAAGAGTTTATTCTGTAAAAGAACAGATAGAAGAACGAGTTTCTGCTGTTTAGCAACGAATAGAAGGAAAAGTTTCTGCCGTCCAACAACTAATTGATGGCAGGGTTTCTGCTGCCGTCGCCAAAGAAGTTGATAAAGAAGCGCATAGCGACAAAAGAAAACAATTCTGAAGGTTTAAAATTTCAACCCATGCCTGCTCGTCCCTTTCTGAAGCTATCGACACATGACAGAAAGACCTCCTGGCAAGTGTATTTGACACAATTTTTTATAGTGACGGAAGCGAATGGATGGGATCCCCAAGGTAAGACCTGTCATCTCGCCGCTTCTCTGAGAGCAGACGCTGTGGTATCCTTCAGACTCTTTTCGAAAACAAAAGGCTAGATTTCGAAGCATTGTCCGGCGCGTAGGAGCTTCGCTTTGGGGAGAAATGTTAAAAAGACTACAGCAGGCTTCAATTAAAACCCCGTAAACAGAAGCCCACGGAAATTCTCCAGAACTTTCCACGGATGTTGAAAGGCTGTCTCATTTCGCCTTTTCGGAATGCCAGAAATCCATAACAGAAACAAGGAAAATCCTGGCTCTGCAGTACGTTATCGATGGCATCCGGGATCCTAAACTACAGAAAGCTCTACGAATGGCGGATATCAAGGACATAAAAGCTCTCTAGTGAAATTCGAGGCAGCCAAGCAGGCAACTCGTACAGACCGCCAACCAGTCAAAGCTGTGCAAGTCCATGAGTCAGTGGATCAATTTATGGTTCGTTTAGATGATTTATCGAGCCAAGTCAATGCCTTGACATGGAGTAGGAGTGAGAACAAACTGCCTCTAAAGTGTTGGAAATGTAGTACTGAAGGCCATATACGACGGCATTGCAGAACACCCGGTCACGGTAAATAAAATAGATGATTTGACAGTACCAGTTAGTGCCTTGAGACGGAATAGAAGTCAAAAGAAACAAGTCCTAAGGTGCTGGTACTGTGGTGCTGGAGGCCACATACGAATGAACTGCAGAACATTCCAGAGCATGGAAAATAAGACCGACGATTTAAACAGATAATTAAATGCTATGAGACGGAAAAGCAGTGACAAAAAACCAAAGTGCTGGAACTGCGGAGCTTAAGGCCACGTACGAAGGAACTGCAGAGTACCTCAGGTTACGGAAAATAAGACCATTTCCCAGCAAAGACGCAGGAAACAAATTAATGATCATATCCCGGAGCGGAGTTTGAACGATAGTAATGCCCCATTTTAAAGCGCTCAAGATTTCTGCCGTGAATGGCAAAAGTAATGGACTATACATCAATGGGCATATCGATGGAATTTCTTGCAATATGATCATTGACACAGGAGCTGATGTTACCATCATTCGGAAAGATTTAGAACAACAATTTTAAGATAAACTTATTTGGACGCCATCCTGTGTTACCTCCAGACTGTGTCTGGTGATACAATCGACGTAAATGGGGAGTTAATATGAACATCACGTTGCCGCCTACGATCACACGGCATATGTAGCAGATATCACAGATCCTTGCATACTTGGATTGGACTTTTTAAGGAAGTACAATTTTCCCTTGGACTTCAAAAACAACAGACTGCTTTCAGAATCAAAAGAAATAACTATCCATCATCAGAAGTGATCCTCACCTGGAAACGCCGACGCCTTATCTGAAAGACCCTGCTCAGATAGCTACCGAAATCATACTAGGGTCGAAGAGAAACACGAGACTACCGGCTATTCTCCATCTCAGATGCTCTGCGGGCGTGACCTTCGTCTGCCTTGTGATCTTTTGTTTGATCGTCCTACGGATGCGCCTTCATCACCTGAAGAATACATCCAAGATCTTCAGGCCCGGCTTGAAGTGATGCACAATTTTGCATGAGAGCGAGCCAACTTGGCGACAGAGAAGATAAGACTCGATACGACACCAGAGGTACTGGACATCAATTCAACGAAGGAGACAAGGTGTGGTCATAGAATCCGACTCGACGGAAAGGACTGTGTCCGAAACTACAGTCATCTTGGGATGGTCTGTACACAGTCCTAAACAGGCTGAACCACGTCGTGGTTCGGATCCGTAAGTCTTCGAACTCTAAGCCTAAAATCGTTCGTTACGACAGATTAGCTCCTTACTATGGCCATAGTACATAGTGTATATAATGTAAATGGTGTAAGATCATGGTCCTTTTTCTTTCTAAATTTGTATTTGATTTGTATTTATTATTTGATTTGTTTTATTAAGTTACTTATTGCATTTGTTGTTTATGTTTTTTAAGTATTGTAATGTTTATTATTGCATTAATGCCTTAGTTGTAAGTTTGGCTTCCTGTATAGGGATTGTACTGCCCGGAACGTGCAGTCCTTGGGAAGGGGACAGTGTTACGGATTTTGTATTTAGTTGGCTATTTTTAGTAGAATTGTAATTAAAAATAGCCAACTAAATATAAAATCGATAACAATATTAATAGGAGTTATATTCATTTCATTACTATGATATCCTACATTATTTTGATTTACCCTACATATATATGCATACATAATAATAATTTATGTTTTATTGCCTATTTGAATTTTTTCAGGACTGTTACTTATTAGATGGTGGAGTTAATGGTCTATTTGTTTGGATTGGAAAAAATTCCAGCAAAAGAGAGAGAGTAGAAGCTATGAACATGGCTAATGTATGTATAATATTTTTATTATTTTTTTGTTTAGGATGTAAAATAAGAAAGTTAACTCGGTATTAAAATTTGTGGAAAGAATCTATTTAATAGAAAACTATTGGATAAGACATTATATGCTGTATTTTATTGAATAATAATTTCCTGTAAAACTGTAACTTCGAATACTAGATTGCAGATTTTATTTGTGTCATTTCTCTTCATAAATAAATTAGTTGTTTTTTTTTTTTTTTTTTTTTTTTTTTTTTTTTTTTTAAGGTAAACTTGTTTGGGCATTTGGTTCTACCTAGAAATTATAATGCATTTCCTGTGTGTAAAATAAACGAATACATATTTCTGTTTATTAAAATCAGTATTAATCAAATCAGGGTAAATTGGTAATATTTATAACACTCATGTAATCATGTTTGACTTCTCCAATACTCTTGTAATCAGTTTAAAATCATTTGAATTTTATTTCATGTTTTTATCTTTGGAGTAAATGAATATGATTAAGTATCAGGCTAAATGTTTCTAACTGTGAACATATATTCAATGCACTTAACTATATTTTAGAATCTGAATAATTAAAAAACTAACATTTGAAGAAAATATGATTACCGTTTTTCTTTCTATATGTATTCATTCTAAAGCTGTAGATTTCTTCATCCATTCTCAAACGTTTGAATTTCCTATTTGAATGTCAATCTGGAGTACATTTTAATTTTTTCCATAGTAATTTAAATATGTAGTTAAATTATGTATGTAAAATATCGCATTGGCTATGACTTAGTAGTTTCTTTTTGGGGGGGAGGGGGGGTAGCTGAAAAGACGTAATCTTAAAACTTTGTAGATTCAGCACTGCCTATATATTTGTTAAGGTACATAGTATATAAAAAAATTGCATAAGTAAGTATCACTTGAATGTTTGGTTGTAGACTTATGGTTCATAAAAATAAATGATTAAATTAAATCACACTAATTTAGTTTTTTTAACAAGGTCTGTCATACATCTTATGGTAAAAAAAATGTATGAAATCTAAATTTTTATAAGGGCTTGTTAGGATAAAGTGCCAGCAAAAATAATGTTCTGTTTAAATTTTTGAAAGCAAATTTTTAAGATATTTTTATGTTAGAGAAAAGATTTAAAAGCATAAATTTCACTGGTTTGTAGAAATGCTAAAATTAGGAATTTTATATGTAATGTTAGTCTGATTTATATGACTCTTAATGATCATTTACTCTTTGACTAAGTGGTTTAAATCTTCGTTTTGATGTTTTTTTCTCCATGGTCAGGTTTGAGTATTATGGGGTGGTTCCTCCCCTAAATTATGTTTTCTAAGATAAGAAATGGTTTACTAATCAGAGCTTTTTTTTTTTTCGAATAACTCATATTTACAAAAAAACTTAAAATCCTGTATACATTGGTTGAAGGTGTCATGCAACAAAAATAATCAGAAATCTCATTTTTTTCAAAATGGACCCATGAGTCTATCACAAGTATTCAAAAGATATGCAGTCGTACATTCTTTCTGAAATATCCTTTATATTCATTTATATGTACAGTATAAAGTAAAAATCATTATTTAGTTTAATATTTTTTTTATTGTGAATAAGTTTAGTTTTATTACATACAACAAAAAGCTTAGAATAATTATTACCTTATAACTGTGCCTTGCTAGAACAAGAATTAATACTAAAAAATGTTCAGATTTTTGCACCAGTTGCATAAAAATTGCAAATTTCATTAGTGAGAAAAGATTTAATGTCTTTCCACTATTACATTCTCATAACAGACTATAATATATGACATGTTTATTCAAATAAAATGTTTATAATATTTATTAGTATGTATACTAAAATATAAGGTAACTATGCAACTTATGTCTAAAGAAAGAATTAATTGGTGGAAGAATATTTTTTTAATTTTACATGCGTGATTTAAAAACTTGTAATATAACAACTTCCTTTCAAATTATGCAAAATGGACATTGTCGATTTTTCTTTTACTAAGGTAAAGAAATGCATGCTATTTTTTATGTCACGCATGCATACTCTACGCTATACGTGAGAGTGTGTAAAAAAACACACACGCGCAAATTGGAGCATGGAGAAAGATTTATCTAATTGTGAAAAATCCAAGATTTATCTAATTGTGAAGAAGAGTGGGTAATAACTGAAGTTATTATTATAACATACTTTTTGTAAAGATTTTGGCATACAATTGTTATTACTATAACGTGTCTTTTTGTAAAGATTTTGGATTTCATGTATTTGAAATTGTATGCCAAACAATTTAAAATGTGAAATTCTTCGAAAATTTCGATCGTGAAAAATCGAGGAATGGTTAGATAGCTGCTCAACTGAGCTGGACTTTCAATGCTTGAGTGATGCAGATATCGTTTCAAATGTCACAAGAACAGAAGAGGCGGAGAGAGATATAGAAAATGCAAGCGAAAAATATCCTGATAATTCATTACATGAATTTTGATATAGAAATTATTTCTGTTGAAATACTATTAGATTTCGTCGATGAAAGGAGATCCGAATAAAATAATGGTATTTCGAACAATACGGAATAAAATCAGACAGATATTTAAACAATTTAAACAAAAATAATTACTGTTTTTTTAAGAAATAAATGCAGCAATATGCATGAAAATTGAAAACTTGAACTGTGTGTTTTTTAGTTATCCGTAACTTGGTTCCCCTACCCGGATAATCAAGAGTATACAGTATATTAGTAGAAGGAAGTATTTAGAGTATTTTCTTCCCATTCAAACATTTGAAACTGGTAGTTTTGTTATAATTTCATGTTAGTTAGGTTATTTGAATATGGCAAAGCTTAGGGAACTATGTGCCTAAGAGCAGAGATGCTTTTGTGGAGATTTTTTTAAAGGAAATTGGGTCATATTCACATCGCACATAGGCAAAACCATGAAAACCAATCATGCTGCCAGTCTTTTCACCTGGGTTCGAACCCAAATTAGGTCAAATTATCAGTATTCAGTGGTCGAATTACCATTTGGCCACTGGTAGGACTTTATGTCAATTATAAAGGTAGAAATGTTAATTAAAATAAGTTCAATTACTTTAAATATAAAACTGGTATAGCTCCATCAAGAGAAGAGTAGGATGATTTATTGGTTATACTTAAAGAAATTTTATCCTATAAAAAGAGTCTAAATTTGGCCAATAGTGTGAATTGACCAGTTTTTAAACAATTAATTTAAGTTAGTTTTCTAAGTTGATTTTTATGAATGGCATAACTTTAGATCTGGTGCTTATCTTGAGCAGGTTCAGTAAAAATGTCTTTAGCATTGGACTATTTTTTTTTTCACGTTAAAAGCTTAATATTATCTAATTTTCAATAACAATAAAAATGACCTTGTTGTAATTATATTTGTTTTGTGTTCTGCATAACATCCAACATATTTCAAATAAGTGTATTTTCACTACCATTAATATCTTTTTAGAAGTTGTTAAATCAGGCAAGCAAATTTCTGTGACAGAAACTTACCAATAGTTTTGATGTACACCCAAGATTAAAGCTAAATATTTAGCTTCAAAGTTTCATAGTTACACTTTTTCTACCTGTCTGTTGCTATAATATGTCTGTTGCTATATATGTCACTATATTTAGTAAGTATGGTATAAAAATTCTTAAATTACTCAAAATTTAAATTGGTTAACAGGAATTTACAGTTTTGGTACTATTTTACATTTTTAGAAATATATAGAAAAGCATAATTATCCAAAATGGTTGACAGTGAAACGAGTAATTGATGAAGGCGAGCCACCAATTTTTAAGTCTTATTTCTCCTTGTGGACTGAGCCTGATGATCAGCTGGGCCTTGGGCGACCATATACATTTGAAGAAATAGCAGGTATACTGTTTTACTGTTTGCAATTTTATAGGTAAAGTACTGTTTGAAAATAAATAATGTATTGCATATTTTTTAAATAGAAATATGATTTGATAGTGTTTTAGTACACAAGTTTATGCTATGCAATTGTTCAGCTTCAAATATCGCATTATGTAAAGAATTCCAAATGTTAACAAATGAATTACTTATGACTTTCCAATAAAATCTTATTTGCTATAATTTTATCTTGACCCTTTGTCGATATCATTTTTAATACTACAGTTCCATAGCATCTTATTATAACTATTTTAGTAATATCTCATTTAATAGTAAGATATTGGCGAACTTTGTTGAGTTCCTTATTTACTAAGTGACTTCCTGTTGCATTTAAGTCTGTATCATTAGCAGGCCTGAATTTATGGGTCTGTTCATTTGACATATAAATATTCAGTATTTTTATTTGAGCATATGTATATATAAATGTTTCATGCTAAAAAATAGTTCGTTGTTTCTAAAAGTTCTGCTGTTGAAAGGAAAAGGTACCCATTCAACAAATTATGATTATTTATATGAACATTCTTTTGATTCTGGTTGTGCGGTTCTGTAAATAATGCATTTTATATCGATATTTTTTATAAACAAAGCTATTGCTTATACTGTAACTCTTAATTAAATAAAGGAGGTCAGTCTAGGAGATTTCTAGGAGATTTTGAAAGAATGATTTTGATGAAAAATAATATCAATCATTTTTTGCAAAATATGTGGAAAAGATTAAAAATGAACTACAAAAACTGTATGAATAAATTACAAACCTGTGTATTCAAGTAATTCAATGCATTAGGGCTATGTTAATAAATGAGGAGTACTAGGAATTTCTTTTAAATTTCATTCTTTCCCATGAAGTGAACCTCATTGGGGGTTTTGTCATTAATTATCATGGGATTATGATATTATAAACTAATCTACCATACAGAGAATGTCATCATTTTCAGCCACCTTTTTATTATCTTGAAATATTTGCAATGTTTCCAGGAAGTCCCTCACTTCATTGGTCAATATTCAAAAAAGGGGGGAGGATTTTCTCTTCTTTTAGAAATTTGTAACTTTTTTTTTTTTTTTTTTTTGTTTTAAAAGAAGTTATAGAAATTACGTTAATTATAGGAATCATAATCTAGCCCCCCCCAGAACCCTTAAATATAAGAAAAAAGTTTTTCAATTTGAAAGTGAAGATTTCTTGATCCATTACTTACGTCATGATAATACTCCTGATCACACAGCTTCCTTCTTCCAGCTAAAAATAAAATAATATTTTATCTTGTCCTCCAAACTTGACTTTAGTCAGCACAACAATTTTGTTCTCTTGGTTGAAAAATCTGTTGAAAATTAAAAAATTGAGACTCAGATTCATAACTGCAGTTGTAATGATTAAACGAAAACAATTGGGGAATCCTGGATCAAGATTTTAGAATATTTTTCCAGCATGAAGGGAAATTTAAGGATACTTGTATTTAGTCCATATTTTTTTTTTTTTTTTTTTTGTTTTGTTTTCTTTAAATTAACTTAAATTTCTGACTTATGAATGCATTTTAAATAACCATTTTAAAGAAATCTAAAAGAAAAATCCATTTGGTTCTTTATAATACCATGTACATTTTAGCTTCTCTACCAGATGAAGATTTATCAGGTGGAATAGGTGCTTTACACCATAAGAAACGTGTGCTGTTTTCGAAGAGTGTAGGAAAAGCAGTCAGCTTCATGCCTGATGATGGCTCTGGAAATGTTGAAGTGAGTATATTTTAGTTCTTTTTATAGTTCACAGTTCAGTGATAAACAACTTAAGTATATTACATTTTTATAGAAGCTCAAGCTTAAATCATTTTAAAATATATGTAACTTCTACAAGTGGAGGTTAAATGGACTATTTTCCATTTATATTTGAGTGTATTCTGGGCACTGAAAAAGTTACATATCCTACTAGTTGAAAATTTTATTAGTTATGTGAGTAGTATGAACATTATGCGTTATGTGCTACCTAGATTATCCATATGCTAATTTATTTCATGTTTTTTAATGGCTTAAAAAGTTATTATTGTTTTCAGTTAGTGTTTAATTTATTTTTCAGTTAGTTTATTTCAGTTTCAGTTTATTTTTCAGTTAGTGTTTTTAGTTAGTTTATAAATCCCTGTTCACTGTACATAAATATGGGAAACACGAGCACATTGTTTCCAATCACGAGGCCATTGATTTAATTTTAGTATTATAAAAGTGTGTTACTTATCAACAGAAAAAAAAATGAATTCCTGAAAAAATTAACTTACTTGAATTTCTTAATTATATTTTGCAATGAGTATTATTTTATATTATATGTGTAATAATAAAAAGCATTTCAAATACTCTACAATATTTCAGTTACAAAATATCTAAATTAATTGATTAATGAAACCTAGCATTAAAATTCTAATTACTTTTCGAAATTTAAACTATTAAATTTATACTGCATATAATAATAATAAAAAACTATATACACTTTTTAATCAGAAGTGCAAACGCAAATTTCACTTGTTATTTTGTAACTTATAATCCACCTTTTTATGATATTAAAGCAGAATTACATTAAAAATATTTTTTATTCTTCAGATATGGAGAGTTGAAAATTTTGATATTGTTCCTGTTGATCATGCTCAATATGGAATATTTTTTGGAGGTGACAGCTATATTGTAAAGTATACGTATCAGAAGAATGGAGAGCAATGCATACTTTACTTTTGGCAGGTTATTGATTTTATTTGCTAGTTTTCTAGGTATTGTGTAAGTCATTTATAATGGCACTGATTAAATAGCAATGCTTTAGTTCTTTTGGTGCAATCTTAAGAAAAAGACACAAAATAGTGACAGGCAAATGTAATTACATCATTTAAAAATATTTGACTTTACTTTTATTATTAATGTGAATATTTTATTATTTTCTTTCATGTAAAAATATTAAATTTGTACTTCAATGTTTTCAATAAATTTATTTTTAGTCACACTATATACCTTATATCAAATCTGATGTATAAAAAAAAGAAGAAATATTTTTTTTGTTTCCTTTTTATCAGTCAAATTTGATCACTTGCTACTTAATTTATTAATACTGCATCTAATTTATCTATGATATATTTTTTGCTTATTGCAGTGTTTCCTTTCAGCTCATTCAGCTACATAATCAAAGCAAAAGCAGTCTTAAAACTGAGCTTTCTAGAGCAATTCATGCACATTTATGTATTTCCCCCTCAAATTGAAGATATTTCTGCAGTAGTATTGTTGCGTTTTTCTTTTTTTTTCTTTCGACACCAGTTGTTACGTTATTTTCTTCCTTCACGTTCGCACGGGGTTCTTGTGGATTTGGAGTGAATAACGATGACATTCGATACTTGATGAAGTATCGAAACACACTTTATTGGCCAATATTGTCAGACCAGCTCCAAAACACGTTTTTGCAGTCGTCGAAGATCTACTATAAACACGCTTACACAATCAGCACAGCTTTCAGGTTATCAAGCTATCAGGTAGAGACAGCTTCACTGCAAAGCACCAGAGTACAGCTCCCGACTCTGCTTGGTCGTTCTCGGAACTCCACGTACTCTCGAGACTCTCCACACTACAACTTGCGATGTACTCAACGACACACAGAGCACAGCTCCCGACTCTTCGGTTCAGTCGTTCCCGGAGCTCAACATGCTCTCTCACCGATGCACTAACCGCGATACACTAACAGACTCCTTCGGTGAACTCAACGACCCACTCGGCAATCGCTGCCCGGCTGTCAACTCGATCGACTCCGCAGGAATTGACTCGTTAGACGAGACACCAACTCGATACTGACTATCTCGAGCTTTATGAGGCACTCTCCCTCGCCCTCTCGACGAGGCACACACACTCTGACTGCAGACTAGCAGGGTTTATATAGCTTTCGACTTGTGTTTCGAGAACATTCTGTGGCTAAACCGGCAAGAATTCGTTTCCAGAAGGTTTCTCCATCCGTCCATGGTATGTCGCCAAATTGGAGATTGTCTCGCCAAATTTGGCAACCCTACCTTCCCTTGTCATTTTATGGCAACCCTAAAACTGCTTTGCGGGGAAGCTACCTTTACCGCGCCTGGACATTTCGTAACACTGCCCCCTCCCAAGGACTGCGCGTCCCGGGCAGTACAACCCTTGGTCAGAAGCCAAATTCGATACAAACAAAATAAAACAAATAGATAACATAACTAAAGAATCAAATATTTACACTATGTACAAGTTATATAGACAAATTAAACACATCACAATTTCAAATTATACAAATTAAAGTTAAGAATGAATTTCAGTCTCAGTCTGTTCACTAAAATATACCCAGGTGAAATACTTTTCCACTGCAGTTCTCAGATATATTTATGTTTTGCATATCACAGTCTGAAGATTCAGTCTTTTCCTCCACAGGGAGGTGTGAAAAAGTTTGTTCACCACTCTGTAGTTCATTCGCAGCATACATACAGTTCACCTTGGCATTTTTAGCAGCTGGTACATACTGGTTTTACCCCGTTTCCTGGGAACCAGCTTCAAATTCTGCATCAGAGTCATGAACGGAGCCCGATTCTTCACAAACACAAGTATCCAGGTTTAGAATCAAGTCCTTGTCTGCACAACCTACACTATGAGGCACACACATAGTTTGCAAAGTGAGTGAATTTTCTTGCAACACTGAAATGCGCTGCTTAAACTGCACATAGGCTTCTCCCATCTCTTCATCACATGCACTTTCAGATGGTTCAACACTTGCTGCCTGCGACTTCTTCAGTACATTATCACTTTCGACGATCTTGACAGTCGCGTTTTCACTTTGTTTTATCTCTACTTCAGGCACGTGAGATTCAAAATCATTCCCGTTTTTTATTTCTCATGTTTTCGTTCTTTTCCTTTAATCCCATTAAATGTTTCCTCCATCATTTCTTGATCTGTCTCAGGCAGTTCATTAGCTACTTCTTTCATTTCTTCATCCTTTGATTCTTCAGACGCCACTTCTGTCATTTCCACATTTTTTTTTTTTTTTTGGCTCCAGTTTCTTCTGCAAGCTCCACTTTCATCTGTGGGAGTTGCTTTTTCTTTTTTTTCTGACACCAGTTGTTACGTTATTTTCTTCCTTCACGTTCGTACGGGGTTCGTGTGGATTTGGAGTGAATAACGACGACACTACTTGATGAAGTATCAAAACACACTTTATTGGCCAGTATTGTCAGGACAGCTCCAAAACACGTTTTTGCAGTCGTCGAAGATCTGCTATAAACACGCTTACACAATCAGCACAGCTTTCAGGTTATCAAGCTATCAGGTAGTGACAGCTTCACTGCAAAGCACCAGACTACAGCTCCTGACTCTGCTTGGTCATTCTCGGAACTCTACGTACTTTCGAGACTCTCCACGCTACAACTCTCGATGCACTTGACGACACACAGAGCACGGCTCCCGACTCTTCGGTTCAGTCGTACCCAGAGTTCAACACGCTCTTTCAACGATGCACTAACTGCGATGCACTAAGCACTTCGGTGAACTGAACGATCCACTCGGCAATCGCTGCCCGGTTGTCAACTCGATCGACTCCGCAGGGATTGACTCGTTAGACGAGACACCAACTCGATACTGACTATCTCGAGCTTTACGAGGCACTCTCACTCGCCCTCTCGACGAGGCATACACACTCTGACTGCAGACTAGCAGGGTTTATATATCTTTCGGCTTGTGTTCGAGAACATTCTGGGCTAAACCGGTAAGAATTCGTTCCAGAAAGTTCTCCATCCGTCCGTAGTATATCGCCAATTTTGTCGCCAAATGGCCGATTTCTCTCCAAATGTGGCAACCCTACCTTCCATTGCTATTTTATGGCAACCCTAAAACTGCTTTGCGGGGAAGCTATCTTACCGCGCCTAGACATTTCGTAACAGCATGATCTGAATGTAATGGCAACACGTGCTCTTGTATTTCCACATTATATTTAACTTTTCAGACTTGCATATTTGGGTTTTCATGAGAGTTACTATTTCTTTTAAAATATGTCATTTACAAATTTCAGCCTCCAAAATCTTTTGCATGGAATTGTAAATATTTAATGTAATATAAACATTTGAAAATTATAATGAATTTATTTTAAATATAATGACATGATAATTATTATTTTTCCCCAAAAATCTACTACTTGAATAGTTACACAGTTGTATTTAATTCAAAATAACAACTGAAATTTTCAGTTAGAATTATTATTCAGAGGAAAGGGGAAAATGTAAATGTTCTAATTTGCAGTCTCCAGATCTTTTTACTTGTAAAAGTAGGATACATGACGCATTTGCAGAAATGTTGTTTTACTGTGCATATAAGCTGTATAAATTGTACAGAGGACATTTAATGAATGAACGATGTGATGATGGACAAATCAATATTTTTTACATTTAATTTCAATAAAATGGAGATAATTTATAATTTTTTATATTTTTTATTAATATTTGCATTTAATATTTTAAGATAATTTTTCTCATAATTAACAAGTTTAATAATAGAATGTAACTAACATGGTGTTTTATGTTAAGTGTTCATATTTTGAAAATAATTTTGTGTTCCTTGAGAGAGAAGCTCACCTAAAAATTTACAGTTTTTTTACATTTTGATGAACATTTTTGTTTCCTTTTAGTATTTCTAAATTATCTGCATTATTAATGTATCATCCTATTTGAGAAATTTGTTTTCTAACTTTCAATATTCCATTCAGTATAAATTCAATCAATATTTCTTATTTAGGGAAAAACTAGCAGTCAAGATGAGAAAGCTACTGCTGCTATCATGACAGTGAAAATGGATAATGATCTTGGTGGTAAGGCTATTCAGGTAATCAATGTCATTAATAAATTTTACTTATTAAATTCTGCTAATTTCTTATCATATTTTATGCATATTGCATTTCTTAAAGCATTTCTTCATTGAACATTTGTAAACTAATAAATACAAAATAATATATAAGCAGTACTATAGCTAGGGAGAACAAGGAGAGTGTCTGTTCCTAGATGCCAAATTGATGTTACAAAATTTTAGAATTAAATGTTTTCCATTTTTGTTAAACCAGAAGGGGCGCGAAATTTTGAGTTGTCCCTGGGCACTGAAAAGCCTAGCTACATCTTTGTATATAATGCTATAGTTTTATCTTAATGCTTTATGAAAACAGAACATTCTTTAAGCTTTCTGTAATATAAAAGGACAAAAAACAAAGAAGCTATTTTTATTAATTTATATTGCAGAGAATTGTAAGCACTTCAGGGGGAAGATACTGTAATAGCACTAAAAGGAAATAATTCTGTAATAATATTAACAATATTCTGTAGCTGTAAGTATGATATGTTAAGTACTCTACCTTAAATACCGCTCTTCCTCGATTTGCATCCAAAAGTGATTCTATAACTACGTTCTGACCGGAAGTGGTAAGTTGAAATTAAGAAGCGATAGGAAACGAAGTTTAATTCAAAATTTAACTGTTAATAAAATTAACATAATTCTTACATAACTCCCGACCAGACTTTAAATAGTCGAAAATTAAAGGTCTCTAAACGGTCCTGTTTAAGACTTTAAAGTCTAAAATCTTTCTAACGTTAACTCCTAACTCTTTCATTAACTAGATTTCACTTTAAATTTTTGTTCTTAGAGCCAACTTAACAGAAAATCGTAAACTAGACTAAAGCTAGAAATTGACAAAATTTGACAAAAAATCGGATTTTGCTACAATCATCTTTTTTTTTTTTTTTTTTTTTTTTTTTTTTTTTGTTTTTGTTTAATTCTGCTATTTTAATCTTGGTTCCTCCATACATGGAAGGAAATTAGTACTTTACAAAAATTTCCATATTCCTTATTCCTTACAATTACTTCTTTATTGCATCATTTGGCCTTCATACACTTTCAGTCATACTTAAACTTCTGTTTCCCTCATGCTCTCCAGAATGTGTTCTGAAATGTACTTAGGGTACTTATGTTGTGTTACCGCGAACAAAACTACCACTAAACAACATCTAACATTGTTAAATTTGACATACTAGACTTCACAAGACTACCTACACAAAAACACTTTCCTAATGTGCTAAGCGAAAACTTAAATTAAACTTTAAAGTGTTAGCTGGAGAGCCTAACATTAAATACACATATATATTCTAAAACATTCAATTCTTTCACAAATTCATTGGTACGGCGGACAAAATTTATCTCTTGTACAAGTTTAAATTTAGGATACTTTACCATATAAATTGAACATTTCTACTTTAACATAAACATTTAGATATTTACACATCACTTTTAAATTCACTTTACATAAAAAGTTATAATTGCTTAGTTACAATTTACCGTGTTTTTAGACGAAATCTTAACTTTAACTTCAGTATTCAAGGAATCTTTCCGACTAAACATATTCACAATTTAATTCTCGAAACTTGCGAGTTCTTATTAATATTTACTGCTAGCAGCTTCTCGCCAATTTGTGAACATAAAAATCTATGATTACAAGCTATTTACAACTAAGTACTCGCTATTTGCGATTTAACTTTCTACTTTTAAAAACTTTAGCAACTTACAACAGAAATGACATAAATTGAACTTTTTTCAAAGTAGAATAAGCAAAGATATTTTTCACTCATCTTTTTCTTTTTCTGTACTCCTCCATTCTGTTATGATAGAATTGTTCAAATGTCGGATACCTGAGGACCTCTAACCTTTTTCTGGAACTTCGATGCTCCATGCCGTTCGCTTCACTCCTTTTCCTCTTCTGCCCCTTGTCTAGGAATCTGGGATTCTTGCGGGACGGCTGCGGGTTTTGCAACTTCAGTCTCCTCTTGAGCTCTGGTGGGGCCATCCGCTCTTCGGGGTCTCTGAACTTGAGCTTGGACCTTCTAACTTCTTGGTCAGGCACTTGGGCCTCCCTCGTAATTGTTGCCACTGGAAAACGTGGTCTACGTTTTCTCGATTCTGTACGTCGTTGAAATTTCCGTTTCGCTGGAACCTCCTCAGCAGGCCTCACTCTCTTAGCCGGCGGTACTGGTGTTTTTGTTGAATCCTCGATTCTGGCTCGTTGGGCTGTAGGCGTTACCTTCCTCCGTTTCTGTGCGCCTGGACCTTTTCCAGCTTGGATCCGCTTGGTCGGTGATTGTTGCGATCTCTCCGTGTGCTTCCTTTTTGGTGTTGGGGGACTCCAGCTGAGCTTTTGAGCTGGCTGAATTCTTTCCTCCCTTCCAGGATTCTGTAAAACTTGAAAATAATTACGGCTGTAGTAAGATTTTATTTGATCAATATTTGCAACAAGTTCTTGGCCATTTTCGACCTTTAGATAAAAAGTTGCTTCCCGTATTCTCACAACTATATACGGCCCTTCAAACCTGGGTTCGAACTTTACAACCCTGTTTTCGGGTGCGGATGATAATGAGTGTTTCAACTTGTACTTTCTGCCCCACTTTATATTCTTTTTCCCTTCTATTTCTCTCATAATAAATTTTCTGTGTCTGCCTTGCTACATCAGAGTTCTTAATCGCTTCATCGACAGTTTTCTGTATGCCTTTTAATTTGAATTCTTCTTGCCTTTGCTGTACAAAAAACAGCTTATCCAAAGGCGTTAGAAATTTTCTTCCTAAAAATAACTCCGCGGGGGAGTCTTCTGTGTAGTATCGTCCTTTGCTGTTCTTAAGGCAAAACCTAACTCATTGACACAGCTGTCCCAGCAGTCATGGTAATTCATAACGTATCCCCTAATAATTTTTACAATATTCTTATTTACGCGTTCCGAAATATTTGATTGCGGTTTATATGGTACCATTTTTAGATGGCGTATGCCAAGTCCTGTGCACAGTTTTTTAAATATACTGCTAACAAATTATTTCATTATCTGATATTACTTTTAGTGGGGCCCCGTATTTTAAAATATACTTATTTAAAAACGAATCTGCGACTATTTTAGCCGAAGCTCGTTTAAGAGAGACTATTTCTACTCATTTTGAGAAATGATCTACAATCGTTAACAAACATCTATTTTTATTCTAGGGTAGGGTCCGAGCAAATCAATGCCAAACATTTCATTTGGAAAAGTAGTCTTTATGTTTTTTAAATACCCGGCCGGGCTGTAATTAACATCATTTATTAATTGGCACAAATGGTACGACTTAACATAGGCCATAATTACTCTTTGTAACTGCTGAAAATAGACCGCTTCGCTTACCCTCTGTACGGTTTTTCGAATTCCAAATGACCAGCCAATTCTAAATTTATGCAATTTTTTTTTAAATATTTAAACGTAGACTTGCTGGGATCACTGGCCGGTATTCCTGATTATCATTTGTTACTTTCGTATAGAATAACAGTTTGTCAATTATTTCGTAATGCTCCGCTCTATTGCGAATAGCTATTAAATCTATATGATCAAACATTTCGGGGTCTTCAAGATATGCGTAAATGTCTCTAAATTCAGGATCCTTTCTTAATTCTTCAATTATGGATTCACGGGACTCAGTAACTTTTGAATTGAGCATAGCATGTTTGGAGGAGAGTAACTTTTAATCGCTAATATTTTGGAATTATCGGTCTCGAAGCCCTTATTCGAAATCTTGTACCCAAGATACCACAGCTCCTTGCACTTTCTTGCATTTATTTTGAAACCGGCCTTGTCAAGCAAGGCAAAAACTTCTTATAAGTGTTTCACATGTTCGTCTATCGTTTGGCTGGTGACTATTATATCATCGAGATAAATTATTGTACTTTTACCCAAAACTGGCGTTAAAACTATATCCATTGCTTTTTGAAAAGTAGCCGGCTCTCTGCTTAAACCAAACGGCATTCTCAAGGAGGTATAGACGCTTGACTTTGTAATAAAGGCAGTCTTTTCAACATCTTCGGGTTTTACGGCGATTTGAAAATATCTAGACTTAAGTCTAAGGTTATCATAAACTTAGTAGAACGAATTTTTCTGATGATTTCATCAATTATTGGTAGGGAATACGTGGGCTACTTCGTTATCCTGTCAAGTTTGCAATAATCAACTGCAAAGCTGTATGCGTCCGGGTGCTCTGGCGGTAGCCCATTTTTCTGCCTGCAAAGGACCACCGGACTTGCGTATGGGCTAGTGCTTTTGGCATAATGATTTTATTTTCTAACATTGTTTTTATATGATGTTCCAGAATCTGTTTTTTGACTCAATCATATCGATAAGGTTTCGACCGGATTGGAGGGGGGTTGCCTGTATCAATAGCATAAGTCACTACCTGGCAGAAGCCAGGTTTTTCATTGAACAAAGAATTAAATTTTCTTACCAAATTTTCAATATTTTCTTTCTCTTCGGGCTTCAGGTGGTCTAAGTCCATTTCCGGCATAGACCCTTTCTCTTCTTCCACGTAGTCCATATGTACCTGAAACGTAAAATTCTGGAAATTAAGATTCGCGCCAGCTGCGCGTAAGAAATCGACCCCTAATATTACGGGTATTAGCAAGTTTTTTACCACTAAAAAATTAACTTTTAACACCTCATTTTTAATTTGTACATGTAGTGCGGTTTTTCCCAAACATACGGACTTTTTGCCTTGGGCGGCAATTTTTTTTTTTTTTTTTTTTTTGTCCTGTGGTTTTAAATAGTTTATAACGACGGAAGAAATGAACATTGAGTCCCGGTGTCCAGGAGGGCAGTGGTTGGTATATTATTTACAAGAATATGCATCTCCGGCATGGCTAGATTTTGCACCACCACTGTATTTAAACGAATATCTGAGGGTCTTTTCTTCCCACTCGGTTACCGTGCCATCTTCTCGATCACCGATGTTCGTTTAAATTTTGATTTTCCGCCCCCTCTTTCCGCTCCTTTTTTAATCCGAACGCCTTAGATTTACCAGAGCTTTTGCTATTGGACTTTCTACCTTTTCCCGTCTGCCGATACGCACTCTGCTGAACTTGCGAGCTGACGGTAAAAGGAC